AGAAGAATGCAAGAAATATGGATATTCGCAATCGTGAAAACATATTAGGAGATGTTGAGGACTCGTTACAACCACATTTTTATCGGGAAATGATACTCGGTGACGAAGTCTGTTTGACGAGGACGGCTACGAATGAAATAGTTTTGTTGCTGAATCATTACAGCTAACCTTTAATGGGTAAACAAACAATACTAAGAAGTAATGCTGATTATATTGATGACGGAAAATGACGTAAGAGCTTGATTTATTGAAAACAAAATGTATATGTATTCCTAAATCTAAATGTTGGTCTCACCAGGGCAAGAAGAAGACAACAACAATCAACAATAAATAATTTAAACAAAAAATAGAAAACTCTAGCGTTACAGAGAGGCCAAAGAAATAGGAATTAGTAAGTGAACAGCCATATAAATTGTCCATGCGTGAACCTTTCGTCCTTTCTATAGTGTCAAAATCCAGGTTGAAGATAAACCATAAGCCTTTACAAAAAACCACAATGGAGGGACTATACCAAGTCCATCAAGCACGAGATAGATATAGACAACTAGAAAATGTGGTCTGTACATGAAGAAATAATGGGACAGCAGTCTCAAGACGACACACTGAGAATTTTGGAAATCCATTGTAGTAGTCTTCATTGTCGACACGAATCTGGTTGATGGCTGGAAACCATATTCAAGGATGAATGTAATTTTGTTTACCATAAAGACATAGCACTCGCCGAGAAAATCTATCTATCTGTCTTCTTTTATCCCACAAGGAAATCACACAAGCGATAAACACCCGATGACACAAAGTGCCACCATACGGATGAGGATCACTCGTGGAGCAGTACCAGAAACAACGTTCAACCATTAGACAATATTTATGGCCGGGTTATATTGTGGCCCCTGTCAAGAGCCAGAGTAGGGCTTCAGAATAATGAAAAATTACACCCCACAAGGGCTGACAAGATGTAGCCGAGAAAACCTGAATCTCTTATCAACAGAACCTTTGAGTCTAAATAAATAAGGGGAGCCCAAAAAACTGACTAGTCCTCAGAAATGAAATTGTGGTCGGTGTATGAGAGATGGGAGTTATGTTAGCTAATCTGCTGTTAATATTGAAAAATTTTGCAAAACGTGGGCTTTCTGTGCAGTCAGAACATGTTGTATCAAACCGGCAATGCAAAGATGGTACTATATGTTCTAGCTCTGATAACAAGTAATATATAGCAAGCGTTTAGAATTAGCTAGACATTGCTACGTTAATTTAAAAAGCTGATTCATACATTTAATATCAATTTATTAAGGCAATACACAGGAATTTGGATCCTAAAAAAAATCATTCATTGAAATTGATTTATTACATCTGCACTGTAATATAAAGATGAGTTTTATTTAATGTACATTATAATTTAAAATTATTATATTCAATCTCCATTTTAATTTACACGAGAGCCGCGGTAGGACGGTAAATAGCCACCTTTCCCAGCCCGAAAGTCTAAGGTTCGAAACCGAACCTCATTTAAAAAAAAAAAAAACCCGGAATTATTACTGGTCAGCGAAGCCTAAAATTGATACCAGGAAATGTAGACAATAAAATCAACATGCAAAATTTGGACAACATCATCCAGAAGCGTCGGAAGGATAGGCCTATGTTTTAAGCACCACTTTCGCTGAACGCTGTGTACTGCCAGAATATTGCATATTGTCAGAGAGAAAAGTCCTGAATATGGTTTTTAAAATAAAACTCTACATCATGATTGAATTATTTAGCATAGTTTGTCTGCGCTAATTAATTTAAACATGCGCCAATTGTGTAAAAATAACCAATTTTACTTCGAAGATGTCGTAGTTTTGATGCACAACTGTTGAATGTGGCGGTTGGAACAGGGAGTCAGTGGCTGCCAAAGCATCCACCTCCATCGTAAATTGTGTTGTCATGGTCATGACAATCATCATAACGACTGCTTGCAGACACTGACTGTATATTCATTGATATTTTTTTAGAAATATATATCATGCTGAACTTCAACATATCATGTTTCTTAGACTCACAGTTTTCACCTGGAAATGATAGAAATAAAGTTATTTATGAATGAGTGAGAAATAAAGTTATTTATGAATGAGTGAGAAATAAAGTTATTTATGAATAAGTGAGAAATAAAGTTATTTATTAATGAATAAATGAATCAACAATTGACATCACTGCACTAGGAACATTCCCACAAATGCTCCGCCTCCTTCTTCAGTAGCCAACAAAGAGTTGACATGCTTGTAGTACCAGCTGCATTCTGGTTAAAAGCCCGCCTCTTTTCCGACTTCATTGCTGAAAATCTTTCAGAATCTCTACCCCCTCCCCTCCCCATCTTCCACCCCCATTGAATTAGTCTTCCTTGTCTGTTCTCTTGCACTCTCCATCTGTTTCCACAACAGAACCTTCACCACATACGCTTTACATAAAGTAGCTCACTGCGCAATGGAGCAGCAGCAGCTAATCTACAAGACTGCTCCTTATCTCGCACACTTGACTATTCTTGACATAAAAAACAAGGACCTGCTCTTGATCTGGGATGCAATTACTTAAAAAGAAGCTAAGCACAATACATGCTACAGTAACCTTATCATTAATAGAGATGAATTCGTGAAGCCCTAGTCACGGTCAGAATAAGCATATACAGATGGGGACAGCAATAGAATAGAATGGTGACGTTCACCAGCCAACAACGTCATGCATGACCATGTTAGATAACAGCTGCTTATAAACCACACGCATGGGCAACAGAACAAGCTGCCACCCGTTTAGTTTTCTTATCAGACTCTCTGAAAATGCTCCAGAAGATCGCAGTAGGTAGTTAACGCTCAGAATGGGTAGAATGCATTCGAAAGTCACAATTAACACCTATCACATGTATCTACATACCAAAGTAGAGTACCCAAAATGCAGATACGTCGATTGTGATAACATAACATGCTAAAGCATTAACTAGCGCATACACATTAATACCACCTTTTTAAAATGTGCTAAAAAAGAACCTTGAATTAAAAACAGGTGAGAGAAGTGATTTATTTTGTCGCCTCTCCTATTTTTACTGGCAGTAGACTAGGTTATGAAGACAGCAACTGCTTACACCAAGGATGGAATTCAATGGGCCCCCTACAAAACAACTTGATGATGTGGACCATGGCTTATGATAGTTCTCCTCTGTCCCACTCACAGAATCAAATGCTACATAATTTAAATGAGGTGAAAAAAGACGCTGGCGTTAGTTAAGACACACGTTGGGAAAATCTGAGAACAATATAACTAGAATGTCTTTTTATTGGAACAAACAGGGGACCCCCCCCCCCCCCCCCCCCCCCCCCCCCAAAAAAAAAAAAAAAAAAAAAAAACATACACACGGTGAAGGAAGCTAGAGAGCAAAGTTAAAAAGATGGGGCTGACATGATGAGAGTTGCATGCAACAGCGAAGGACAGAAATACTTGGCATGTGTTAGTTGAGGGCCTATGCCCCACTGGGGGACAGAAGGCAGAAGAAGTAATTGAACCTGGGATTTAAAACCCCTGGCGATAGCGAGTGTGATGCTTGACCTGTTGGCATTTAGAAAGGTCTTGCACAATAAGAATATGGATTTTTAGGAGCATGGCTTTGATTCATGCATTTATTTTCTCATATACTCACTACCTTAACCTGCCTGTACCACGCCCCCCCCCCCCTCACCCGCTATCTGAAAGCAAATTGCCTGGACAGTTGCCCTCATTTGGACACCACAGAGGAAAAGATCTCGTGGAAGACCAAGGGAAACCCTACGTAGAACTATCATCAGGGAAGGCTCGCTCATGGGCCACTCAAACATCCAAGACCTACAACGGATTGCAACGAACCGCCATGCATGGAGAGTCATGACCTCTGCCCTATGTGCCGCACTCGACACAAGAGGAAAGACTAACTAACTAACTGTAGAAACCAAGTGCTGCCTGTGCACCATTCGCGCCCACTTGGCCTGCCTTGTTTACTCCAAAGAAAAAGTAATACCAGTACGTTGAGTGCCCACTCGGCGTGCCTTGTCTACTCCAAAGAAAACGTAACACCAACATGTTTGAAACAAAGCGTGTTGGAGGAGCAGGCGGACCTGAATTATAGTGGTCTGTCTGTCTGTCCATCTGTAGTAGCTAGAGCAGCTGCCAACCAAGGTTAGGAGCTCGGTCGTCTACGCTGCCGAAACCCGGCTAGAGCGTGGTTAATTTTGGGGATTTATGGGCAGTTCTGCTGACATCAGAAAACTATAGCCAGAACCAGGCGGAAAAGACTAGAGAGGCTTTGGTTTGTGATACAAACTGGGACGGCATCACAGCTTTACTACATCAGGATACAACAGACGCAATAGTTTGGATATAGGTCAAGACTACCACAATATAGCACACCAACAGAGAGCCCTGACACTTAGACATCACATCATGGTAGTCTACTAGGCTCCATTCATGTTAGTGACTAGGATTGTGCTTAGCGACTTTCAAGATTTGGCTAAGCGATCACAGTAAGAATGGCGACCACAGTCTTTATCAACGTATACATCAACCCAACAAGAGGAAACCCCCTCTTCTCCCTTTTTTTCCAGCATGCACATTTAGTGTGGAAGCAACAAAACGGAGATAAGTAAAATAAGAACAGGAAGGCGTGTTGAGAAACAAAATCAACTTAGGAAAGAAATAAACGGAAAGAATAGAATTAAAAAAAAAAAATTCGAACAAAGTTATGTAATTTAACTAATACATGCTATGTGAAAGCAATTCTAACTACAATAAAGTACCTTTTAATTGTGCTCCTATAGCCTATGACATCAAGGGCTTGTGTCGTGGATGAGCTATGACCAGATACCGGATTGGAATGGCGGTCCGTATACATCGACAGTTTTAAATTTTGAAAAGGGTACACGCGGCAATATGCAAAACCAGACTGACATGATACTGCCTTACAGATACAAAGCCATGTGTCGGGTAAATCGGCACCACAGTTACTAAATATTAAAGTCAATGCCTTTTCTTTTTTCCATCGGATCAGACTGAAATTCGCGTGTGGGTGTATTTCTATTCTGTTTCTTACCAGAAGTCTTCACATTTTCTTCACATTTGCGAACATGCAAACAGGCAGGCAAATTTATATTCTTGTGATTTGAGTTTGGTACAAACTTTAACAAATTAACAGAATCTTTAAGTTCTTCATTTGACTGTTCAAGGGCTTTCTTGGCAATCTCATTGCTGGTTCTTCCGAGAAGACAAATATGTTTAGTGGCGGGACCCTTCTGGTTCCTCGTATACTGAGTCTGAACTTCTGGTGCTGCTCCACTTTCGGGCTGTTTGGTCACGACTTCACCATTGTCATGAAAAAGGTGCCGCTGTTCAAGTGAAATGCGGCTGGACGTGTGAAAAACCGTTTCAAAAGACACCTCTGTAAACATCTGAATTTGGCGCTCAAAGCAACTAGCAAGACATTGTTTTTCTGTGTCCATGTCTGTCCAGTTACAGTTGTAGCAGTGAGCGTTACAATTGTAGTCAATGCTCTGCATCAGCTGATGTTTCCCATTGTTTACCAGCTGAAGAAAAGAGTTGTTTTTGTTGTTATCAGTGACGCCCGTCATTGGATTGCTCAGGTTCATGCATTCGGCTGGCATATCATCTAATGCAAACTTATGGCTGTGGTGGGGGTCATGAAATGACCGCACTTCCACGGGCTTGGCCTCGTTCATGTGGTGAAAATCCACCAGAGCACTCTGATTCTTTTGTGTAGCATTGTCCGTTATATCCCCTTTGGTTAGGAACACCGGGCTGTTCAGACTATTCAGACTATGCTGGTAAGGTGATATCGTATTTCTCACACTATAGGCACCACCACTTTCATACCTCTTACTTACTTCCCCTGCTTTCGAGCCAGAGTACTTTCCCTGTCTGTAATCATCAAAAGCTTTATCTAGATTCCCCGAAAACACATATTCCTTAAAATACTTTCCTTGCTGTTCAGCCGCGCGAGTAACCTCGGGAAAAGATGGCTCCTTTAAATGAAGAACAGTCTTACTGGATGCGTTAGAGGGGCACGTTTTATTCTCATTGTGAGTCGATTCTGCTTCGACCACCAGACTGCCCTCCAGATAAGAATTGACACAACTGCACGGGCAGGAGCTGCCTCTCTGTGATCTGTTGCTGTCAATACTTCTTGAGTTTTGCGTTGGTTGTGTCTCAGGTGGGTTGTCACGATGCTCTACGTTGAATTCAAAAATCGGACCTTCTTGCTGCTGTTTCAGTTTTTGTTTATGTTCTCTAATTTTCTCTTGTATAGTTATCTCCTTGTCCAGGTGCCTGCTCTTCTGTGCTAATCTGTCTCTGTCCAGTTTTGATGAAGATTCCTAGCAAAACAATATTGTCAGAACGAATTAGTACGGGTGGTGTAGAGGGTTAATAAAGAAAATGGAGGCTTCTCAACTTAAATGTTACAGAAGAGTTTTCAGAACAAAATGGATCAAACCACGAACATGAAGGAAAAAAGTTTTCCTTAACAGCATCCTGTCTCAGAAATTGAAAAACAATAACATGTGCGCTAAGTCATATAAAGAGATTGTTTTATATCCTTTAGGAGCTGCGGTACCATGTAGCCTAAATGCTCGCTTGCGGCCATAAAGTGTATGGTGCACATTCGAATCAAGACGACGTGTTGGTTTTGAAACCAAGTTTAAATGGGTACCAGGCAACATCCTAATAAGTAAACACCATGCTACATTGAAGCTCATCTCCCATTGAGGACAGATTAGTCTACAGAACTATAGATACAGCACTTTGTAACGATAGCGCCTAATGCGTAATAATAAACCTTTAAGGAGTTATTTTATAAGGATATAAGGCGAGGACCAACTCACAGTCCTTAAGAAGGGAAAAAGTGCTTTTGAGCTGAAATGCTATAGAACGATTCTCAGAATACGGTGGGCAAAGAAGAGAAGAAATACTGCTATTTCAAAAGATCTAAACATCAGGGAAGACTGCCTAATAAACAGAATCTTGTCTTGGAAGCTAAAATATGTTGTCGAAGAAAGTAATAGCAGACGGCATGATACCAGGGAGGAGGGGCACGGGACAGCACGAAAATAGGCACAGGATATAAATGACATCCTTGAATATGAAAGTACATTACTTCACTATGAAGACCCCTTTAGTAAATGTTGAATGCTGAATTGAGAATCGACATCATAGAACTCGGGACACTACCATATAGCGCTCCGTCCTTATCTTCTGTAGTAAGCAAAGAGTTCCAATTATGATGGCACTAGTAACTGTCTCGCCTTTTCCTTTATCGCCAGTCAGATTCCCTGGTAACTCTTCGCAGCGCCATTCTCCTCAGACCGTAAAGATCGATTTTACTACAATTATATTAGACCTGTAGTGAAAATAAGCATTAACACAATGCGATCAAATGTTACCTTGTACTGGTCATTCCCCTCGCTCTTGAGCGCATCACTCAGCTGCCAGTTGTGACAGCCTTTGCCCTGTTTGAACTGGTTGAATTTGTCTTCCACTGATGATCGGTTGAAAGCCGGATAGACTGGAGCGCTGAGCTCCCTACCGCTGGCAAGTGTGTACTGAAGTTTGGCTTTGTTATCCAACAGCTTGCTCAGCTTGGCTCGGAATTTGGCCTGCATATGGAAACGACAAATTAAAAATTGAATATTAACCACAATTGTGGAAGCCGATGTGGTCTAGTGCCTAGACTCGCCTGCGGATCAGAGGGTCGTGGGTTCGGGGCCTGACAATAGACGGTCTTTTTCTTAAAAAATGAGCTTGGTTCCCAGGTTGCCCAGTGAGTGAGTACTAGGTATAGCCCTAGGAAAAAAAGACTGCCGACCTGATGCTGACAACATCACCCATCAAGTGCCGTTTGATCTATAAAATATAGGTCTAGCCCTATATACCCAAAACGCCAGATGGCTTGGAAAAAGGTCCCTTGCTTTAACTGCAGACGTGTCTAGTTGTTTTTTCTTCTTACAGTCAATGTGGTGTGACCTTGGCATCATGTCTATCCCCCGCTTTCTGTCTCGTGTACTTCAGTCTTTTATCATACCAATATTATTTTACTTGAAAACAAGAGAGCCCCGCGTACAACGTCACTACACAAAGTATGAGAGTGGAGGTGGAGGCAGTAACGTCATCATCATCAATTTGAATTTGCCAAGTTCAGTCGCTACCTAGAGAACTAACCTCTCCTAGACAGCATTAGTTATAACTGTGGCTCTTTTTCGTGCTGTTTTTCATTGTGTTTCTCCTAATGTTGGAGGTTCTTGCCGCCCATGTCTGTCGAGCCAGTTTTTCTGTCTTTCGTCTGTAGAGCCGTCATCTTAGTGCTGATTGGTTAGTTTGGTGATCGTTATGTTGCCGGATTATTGGGTCTTTGTCATTAGTTGCTGTTGAGACAGTAACGTCAGCTTTCTGGTGGCTTGAGAACAGCGCAGACCGGCATTTTGTGACTGTAACAGACTCACAGAGCATGCTTTAGAAAACTGAAACGTGTCCTGCGATCAGAGTGGCTTGCCTCACTTGTTAAGGCCCGATCAGGAGCATGTCATTGATATTCTTTTCACGGATATTCAGGTGTGCGAGGCAATGAAAAGGCTGATAGATTCGCTGCTGCTGCGCCTCTAGGCGGTGAGCTACTGTATGGTAAAGATTCTATGGGAGCAAAAGGACAATGCAAAGGAACAGATAGGGGAATTCACACACTGAAAGAATAATTCAACGGGCGTTGTATAGAACGAACGAACGAACGAACAATCTTTATTTTTAAAGGGTTAAGAATTGGGCACGCAGGCCCGTCTAACATTCTGCCCTTCGAGGTCTCCCTCCATTCTTACATCATTTCATTCACACATCAAGTAATACTAAAAGTTAGCAATAGCATCAAAATAATCAATACAAGCACTGGAATGTGCACATTTCTAACTACAGTAAACCGTATTAGTTGTAACAAATCTAAGAAAAATGAGCGCTATTTTTCACATATGTTTTATCTTCTATGGGGGCATATAATCGGTGCTCAGATAATATTCGAACAGTTTCCGATTGTATGTATATGGACTAGTGGCACTTTTGATTTGCTGTGGTAGATAGTTCCACAAGTGAGCTGCGGAATATGACAGACTTGTTTATAAAGGTCTATCCTAGGTTTAGGGATGTGTAATATGTTTAGACGCTTACTATGCCGTTCATTATATTTGAACAACGGCCATAAGTAACATGGAGCCTTTTGAGATAATATTTTGTAAGTATATTTTGCCTTATTGAAAAGTAGACGTTCACGAAGCGGTAGTAGTCTAAGACCTTTATATGTTTCGGAGCTCAGTGTTCCATGATTGTTACTAATTAAGCGAATGGCGCGCTTTTGCAGTGATGTGAGTCGCTTGATAACAGCTGGAAGATATTCAACATTAAAGGGGAAACATAGAAGGACTTTTAAGCACGTTGCAGTTGGTAACATGTGCATGTCAATTCTTCGTTGGTTACTGAAAAAGAAGACGGAGCACGAATGGGAGTGCCCCTTGTACTGTGATGACGATTCCATATTCATTCTGTCATTATTTCTGTTTTTACATTATGCCTGACTGCCCAACATCTTCACACTGTAACCGTTTTAAACCGTGGTCGGAGTGTTTGTGATCCCGACCCCAACCACACCCCCTCCCCGCTGGATTCGCATCTTCTCTTCTTCTCCATAACATTAATAGCTGTAAACTACAGCGAAAGTCTTGGTTGTTCATCTACCTCTGGTTTTTGGTTTCATTCCAGGACTCGAGTTGTGCATGCATACTTGTTTTACAGTTCTAGCTTATTTGTATGCAGGCTTGGTTTCTCTTCTTGCTTTTTCCTTCCCCACTGGGACTTCGGAACCTAAACTGAAAGGAGTCGCAGCTGCATAAATGTCTCCTTGAAGCACTTGGTGTCAATCGCAAGGACTTACAGACTGAAGTGTGAGTATATTTGTGCTTGTTTGGGTAGGTGGGGAAAAGTGAGAGGGGGGGGGGGTGGTGGTGAAGAAGGAGATATTAGATATTTTATTATAAGAACAATGATTAAAAGAACAATCACGCATTGAGATTAAAAAAGAATTACCAGTGTCATGTCCTAAAAATTCTACCATCGAGCATGTCTTACCTGGCGTTTCAGCAGATGCTGCTCCACCAACTGCTCCCTGGCGATCTGTGCCACATCAACCTGGTTGTGTCTCAGCTGCGTGACGTACGCATGCTGCTCTGCCACCTGCTCCTCGACCACCTGCAGCTTCAGTCTGGGACAAGCATGAAACACAATTACAATGAGAAGCAAAAAGCTTCATGGTATTTTTTTTCGTTCGTCCCAGGATGTAACTTTGGTGTGCCTGTTTACAGCATAGCTCATATAACTGCGTCTGTCTGCCAACATATTTAACGTTTTGAGGAATTTGTTGTCAGAGGTTAGCCTTTCCGGTTAGTTTCTGGGGGAATTGTACAGCCTCATTGAGTGTTGCCATCGCTTTCCCACCTCTCAAGTAATAAGCTCAATTTGTAAATATATTTTCTTGGTGAACAAAGAACGAAGAACCGAAGGGATTACCTTTTGTTTTTAAAGGTTAAGAATTGGGCAGGCAGACCATACTAACATTCTGCCCTTCTAGTCTCCCTTCCTCCCTAACGGCATTCTAAACAGAAGGTCTGAGAAAAGGGTAGTACAGTTGGTACATTGTTCTAGGGTTAATGGAGCTCAAAGGGGGTCTGTGGAGGTCAAAGTGGGTCGATTGAGATTAACGGGGATCTAGGGAATTCAAAGAAGTCCATGAAAGGGCTTTAAAAAATTTTACACACAAAAAAAATGGTGGATGTATATTTCATACTTTATACTTGTGTATATGGCAAAACTACATTGCTGTCTTCATTGACATGTAGCCTATTAGAGAATTGAATGTATATAAAAAATAAAAAAAAATAACGAATCACGCAAACCGATCAACACCCGGTAACACACAATGCCAACATGCGGAATCGGATCACCCGTGCAGAGGTCCCGGAAATCGCGTTAAACCGTTGGGTTATATTACGGCCACTTGCAACAGCTAGGGTGGGGCTTCAAAATAGTTAAAAATTGGATCCAACAAGGGAGTTGATGGAGTTTAGTCCTAGGATCTCGATACCGGTAACAAATAACAAAGAGAGGCACAAAAAAGAAATGTCAGAATTATTGGTAACAGAAGTGAAAGGAGACAAAAAGACAAAAGAAAAAGAAGACCATAAAAAAATCGTAAAAAGGAGCGGGAACGAAAGAACTTTTTTTTCACAAGCTTAATAAATAGGTAAGAAGGCCTGTCTAACATTTTCTATTTCAGGGTAGGAACAAATAATAGCAAAAGGAGCAAGAGAAAGAAGGAAGAGGAAGAAAAGAAGAAGAGAAGGAAGAAGGAGTAAACTAAGATGAGGAGATAGCTGCAGAATCAGTAGCAGCAGCAGCAGAAGGGAGAAGGAGGAGGAGTAGAAGAAGAAGAAGAAGAAAATGATGAAGAAGAAGAAGAAGAAGAAGAAGAAGAAGAAGAAGAAGAAGAAGAAGAAGAAGAAGAAGAGAAGAAGAAGAAGAAGAAGAAGAAGAAGAAGAAGAAGAAGAAGAAGAAGAAGAAGAAGAAGAAGAAGAAGAAGAAGAAGAAGAAAAAGAAAAAGAAGAAGAAGAAAAAGAAGAAGAAGAAGAAGAAAAAGAAGAAAAAGATGAAAAAGAAAAAGAAGAAGAATAGGGAGGAAGAGAAAGAGGCGTAGGAGGAGGAGGAGAAGAAAGAAAGAAAGAAAGAAAGAAAGAAAGAAAGAAAGAAAGAAAGAAAGAAAGAAAGAAAGAAAGAAAGAAAGAAAGAAAGAAAGAAAAAATGAAAGAATGAAAGAAAGAAAGAAAGAAAGAAAGAAAGAAAGAAAGAAAGAAAGAAAGAAAGAAAGAAAGAAAGAAAGAAAGAAAGAAAGAAAGAAAGAAAGAAAGAAAGAAAGAAAGAAAGAAAGAAAGAAAGAAAGAAAGAAAGAAAGAAAGAAAGAAAGAAAGAAAGAAAGTAAGAAAAAAAGGAAAGAATGAAAGAAAGAAAGAAAAGAAAAAAAAACAAATTAAGAAAGAAAGAAAGAAAGAAAGAAAGAAAGAAAGAAAGAAAGAAAGAAAAAATGAAAGAAAGAAAGAAAAAGAAAGAAAGAAAGAAAGAAAGAAAGAAAGAAAGAAAGAAAAGAAAGAAAGAAAAAGAAAGAAAGAAAGAAAGAAAAGAAAGAAAGAAAGAAAGAAAGAAAGAAAGAAAGAAAGAAAGAAAGAAAGAAAGAAAGAAAGAAAGAAAGAAAGAAAGAAAGAAAGAAAGAAAGAAAGAAAGAAAGAAAGAAAGAAGAACAGAAAGAATGAAAGAAAGAAAGAAAAGAAAAAAAACAAATTAAGAAAGAAAGAAAGAAAGAAAGAAAGAAAGAAAGAAAGAAAGAAAGAAAGAAAGAGAAAGAAAGAAAGAAAGAAAGAAAGAAAGAAAGAAAGAAAGAAAGAAAGAAAGAAAGAAAGAAAGAAAGAAAGAAAGAAAGAAAGAAAGAAAGAAAGAAAGAAAGAAAGAAAGAAAGAAAGAAAAAATAAGAAAGAAAGAAAGAAAAGAAACAAAAAAGAAAAAAGGAAAGAAAGGAAGGAAGAAAGAAGACAATATCGGATAATCTGATGGAGCAGCAACATAAAAGAAAAGAAGTGTACAACAGAAACATGCAGCAGATGTGGTAGAACATAAGCAACAACACACAGAAGACCATGACTAGCTATTGTGTATATTTTTTTTTTTTTTTACCTAAGATTATTCTCTGCAGCCAGCAGCTCCTGCATTAGGATGTCTTGACTCATTTGCGCTAGATGCTCTTGTTTCAGTGCCTGTTCTTGCTCTAACAGTGACAGCTTCTGGCTCCCATGCTTCTTGTGATCCTTTGTGTTCTGCCTATCGTAATGAGGTCTGCTCGTGTCATTTCCACAGGTTTCCACGTACTGGTCATGCTCATTACTTTTCTTGTCAACATCAGCTGTTGAGTATTCGTAACACAAGAGTTAATATGGACGACCAACACGAGCCGTTTAAAAAATCTTTTATCATGTGGATTTTCATCCAGAGTTGTCTATTCACATGTGTTTGGCTGTTACCTGTGGGTTAGAACAACCCTGTGGCTCAGTAGTTGGCATCCGAATAACAGTACAACAGGGCTAACTACAGATACCCCGTTCAAATGTGGGTATCTGTACCGGCTATATCACTAGTTTACCAGTCTTGTGCCGGTTAGGATGACAACCGCCAAGGCTAGGTATATACTAGAAGGTAATAAAGAAATCAGCTTATGAAATAAACCTTGGACAACAAGAACTCGCTAAAGTAAATAGTCGTTTAAAACATGAACACAATTTGTTATCCCAGAAATGAAGTATTAATTTGAGTCACTGATTAGCACAGATTTGTTTTTAAAACTACACTCCTAATTCTGTGGTCTCTTGGAATTAGTGTTAACTCTCTGAGCCCCTGAAACGCCAGGTAAAGTGATAGCCTGTTAGTACAGACACACACATGAATCCCAACGACTGCATTATGTTTATTTATGCCTGGTTACAAAATGCCAAAATATCTGGCCACTTCCAATGTAATTTCAGTCAGTCTCTATGCATTTTACGCATTCGTGGCTTTAAAATTGTTATTTTTCGTGCCTGATTTAAAATCTTTTGCCAAACATTCTGGTACTACTGGAAATACGCTAGCAATTGGTAGGTAGGTAGTTGTACCCTACCAGCGATAAACACCCGGTGACAAAAAATGGCATTATGCTGATGAGGTCGCCGTGGAGAGCTCCCAGAAACCTCTTTCAGCCGTGAGGCCATATTTATGGCGCGGTTATATTTAGGGCCCCTGGCAAAAAAAAAAAAAATTTGCATCCCACATGGGGACGACTATGATCATACGCTAGAAATTGCTTGCTGTCCACTGTAATATTATTGTGTGTTGATGAGCTGTTTAATTACTAAAATTTTTAATGCAAAATTTTATTTTCTAAGCCTGTCATGTATATTATTTTTTTCATTTATTCTCCTACTATTCCTAGGAATGAGGCACTAGTTGCCATTCGGTTTACGCAGAAAAGGCATTCTTTGACGATCTTAGCATGCAGGTTAAGTTGTTAGGTCTTAGCTTCAGAATAAAATGGCTCAATTTGTTCAACAACAACAAAAGATGTTGCTTGTGTTTGGTGTTAACAAAATTTCCTCTAATTTCAGATACCGGGAAAAAAATCAGTCTAGTTCTCACAAAAACTTCTGTTACTGAAAGAGGAGCTTTAAACGGAAATATACAAACTGTCCAACATACTTTAGTAAGTAAAGGACACTTTTCCACGCCTTAAGATGAATAGGGCATATAGGGCTAGACCTATATTTGATAGTTCAACCAGCACAAGATGGGTGATTTGGTCAGCATCACGCCGACTGCCTTTACTACTGCACCCGGTACCAACTCAAGACTGGGTCGACCTGGGAGCCAATGTCATTATTGAAAGAAGTCTGTCTTCGCCGGGGAGCGAACCTATGACCTTCCGATCCGCGGCTAGCTGCTCTGCCACGGCGACTAATCCAACATATCTGACCCAGTAAAATATATTTAAATGAGAGCTCTAATAAAGTATACACATGAAACTGTCCCAAAGCCACAGTAGCGCAGTTGCTAGACGCTTGTGTGACGGCCCATAATTCATATGTTCGAGTCCGCAGAGGGTGAAATTGGAAGAAAAAAAAAAATTAAATTTGAACCTGCCTAAAATTGGTATTAGGAAATGTCACGTGAAGTAAACGCGACCGGTGTGAAACTGGCCTCATTAGCCATCAAGGCCCGATTGATCTTTGAAAATATGTGTAAAGCATCATATGTCTGATACGCTAGCTCACCGGGACACTCTGGGGTGAAATGAAACGAAAGAGCCGATAGACTGACCGCGTCAGTGT